TTTTTTTTTTTTTAATCTATAGTCTCATCTAGGTAAAATCTAGGGCTCAACCTATATTTTATGTCACTTTTTGCTGTTCCACAGCCCTAACCCTAGATACATAAGAACTAGCAAATACTTGTTGAACTTCTATTATGGGCCCAGAATGTGATATTAGGATTTTTATCCAGTTTATTCAGCTACCGAAGGGCACACCCTACAGTGTGAGGTTCAAACTCAGGATTTCTGATTCTAACCCAAGTGCCCAGTTGTATAGTAATGACAGTGACTTTGATACTATTTACTATTTGTAGTCTCTAGGTTGTTTACATCAAATAGCCCACTGATGATCCATTCAGTAATTCTGAGGTGGAACGTCTATTGTCCTGTTTGACAGGTGAAAATATTCAAACCCAGACAGCTGCTGTGATTGGCCTATTCGAGTGATGATCCCTAGTATGAGGGATTCCTATTCAGCACAACTGCTCCTAGAGATGCCCCTGGTCCCTGGTAGAGAACCTGGGCCCAGTTCAGGGAAGCAAGAAACTGACACAGCAAGAAGTTTATAGTAAGACTCACACAATCTCTTCTACCCAGGTAGCCTCGGAAACCTTTTTGTGGCACTACTCTTCCGCCTTAATGTTTTCAATAAAAATTTAGCATTCTTCATAAGTCAGCAAAACTTTGTTTTTCTTTTGCAGTACACAAAGCCTTCATACTAAGCTACATCCTCAACCCTATTTGCTGTTTTTCATTTAGGACAGGGTGTCACTAAGCTGTTACAGGCCTCTAACTTGCCGTCCTTCTCCCATAACCTCCTAGAGGCCTGGGTTTACAGGCGTGTGCCCTGATGCTCGGCTTCTTTCTCTTTGTGTGATTTCCATTTCATGGATTTATAGAAGGATTGGTACAATAAAATCCCTTCATAATTTACCACCAGGAAAATTGTTAATTTTTTATAGTAGAAAGATGATCTTCGTTTTCTAACTAGTGTAACCCATGCTTAAAAGTTTCCTCATAGTTCTAATTTTGAAATTTCATGGCAATATCTATGTACCACCAGAGCTGTCCTCTGAGTGCATTTCTGTAAATGACATTTAAACACCACCTTAACAGATGCCTGGTGAAGCCCACTGGAGCCTTGGGAAAGAGCAGTGAACACTGCAACACTCATAGTGAGCTGTTCATATGTAGAGCTCGTAAAAACCCAAACTGGGCTCCTGATATGGCCAACAAAATGGTGGGTTTTTTACTAGATCACACTGTCTTTCAGACACCAGCCTTAAGGCAAGGCACTGTTTGCCCAAGATAAAGTTCTCACCAACATGAGATGAAATGAAGAAAAAATTATAATGCATATAAACTTCTTCAACCTAAAGGACTTCATTTTGTGTTGAAATGTTTTCTGTCCTATTTCTTTGACTTAGAGAGTTATACTAATGGAAGATGTCATAGATGGTAGGTTTTCTCTTTAAACATTTTAATTTAGCAAAATCAACATTTCACTCAATTTATGTTGGTTTTCCCACTCATATTTTATTATTTTTTCTTTATTTTCTTCTTGGTTCTTTTTCAGATAAGCTCAATTTACCAATGGGCTAAATTATAAACACATAAATGAGAATGCCTTCGATGTTACCCATGCCTTTGTTCATTCGTCCATTCATATAGCAAAGAAAAACAATCTACTCAAACTCCTGCATTTTATGGAGCACCTTGTATTAAATGTTGTGGAGAGTGGTCTAAAAATACAGAAAATATCTTTTCTTTTCTTTTCTTGAGAAGCAACAGTCTGTTTGAAGAGATCCAGCCAGCAGACCAGGGAGCTAGAGCATGCGACGTAGTATAAGGATTCACTGTCTAGTCCAGAGACTCTCAGGGAGGGAGACAACTTCAGCCTGCACCCATTTGACTTGATTGCAAGGTCATAAGTGTGCTGACATAGGACACAACTTCTGCCCTATTCTCCCACTGTGAAGATCTTTCCATGAGGATTGCTCACTCTCTCCAAACAACTGTGCATATCCTTAACTCCAAACTGGATCCTGTTCCAGAACAAATTAAGAGCCTTCATTATTTTCTTTTGAAGGCAGATGAGTCATCTTATAGTCCATGGCAAAGATGAGAATTAAGGTCTTGGGAGCCTCAACTTTCATTCTCCCTTCCAACCACTCTCTTAATCCTTCCCATGCTGTGCCTGCTGACACTCCTCTGTCTCCCAGTGACTCTTTCAACTTATAATCCCTTAAAACAGAGTCAACAAGCCAAAAGAAAGAAATATCGCAGAGCCCCAGCAATGGCTGTCCATGTAACATTGAGCCTCCCAAGGTACACCACTGCCCTTTGTGTGGTTGTTCAAGTACAAAGATGTTTGTATTTTTTTCTTTTGAGAGAGAGACTAAGGAGGGAGTTGGGCCATAAAGGTATCTAAAAGACTAAAGAATGCATTCTCAGGATCTGTTAATGGAAAGTGTTTTCCCAGCTTGAAAATCACCACATTTAAGCTCACAATGTGGGGTAA